CTATTATGATGAGGTTTGAAGGTTAGAATGGTACCATCTTCTTGAATCTTCATAATGACTGTTCTGGTATTCTCTTTCATCATTTTTCCTTTCTCTTGACTCTTCTATGTCCTCTTCACTGAATTTTTTCATTCCACCTATAAATGTATTAAGATATCCCTCTTCTACCCCATTACAGAGGAAAAATAGTTACTTCTCAATCCTAGTATATCTGTCAAGCTGTCATCCTGTTTTTCTTTAACTGCAGTAGCATTCACTTACTGCTTCCTTCTCTTACCATCAACAGTTATTTAACTTCTTACAGTCTGGATTTTGCTTTCATCTGCTCCTATGAATCTGTTTATAAAGGGTCAACAACCTTAGTCAATAAATCTAATAATTTTCTTTTTGAGTTCAGACTGTCTTTGATCAGGCATTGTTAATCCATATCTTTCTTCCAGATGGCCTCCCCTTCTTAGGCTTCATTAAGCTCTTTCCTCCTCTTGTTCTGCTACATCTGTCTTGCCTGACTCCCCTTCCTCTTGGTAAAGGTAGTGTTTACCAAGGATTTGCCTTTGGCCTACTTTTTTTTTTAGTAATCTCATCCCAACCCTTCCTTTCAGATGCAGACCTTATCTGTTTCTCCAGCTCTACTACTGTTCCATTCTTCCCTTGCTTGTGAAACATGCCTCTTTATCACTACAAGTTTGAGATCTTTAAACTGTCTCCATTCTTTTTTTAAAGCTTTTCCTTTTTTAAAAAATTTTTAAATATATTTTTATTTTTGACAGAGAGAGCATGAGCAGGGGAGGGGCAGAGGGAGACACAGAATCCAAAGCAGTCTCCATGCTCTGAGTCTACAGCACAGAGCCCGACACAGGGCTCAAACTCATGGACCACAAGATCATGACCTGAGCTGAGGCTGAACGCATAACTGACTGAGACCCCCAGGCACCCCACAATGTCTCCATTCTTTATCAAACCTGAGTTTCTTCCAGTGGGTTTGTTGTAGCACCCTTATCTTTCCAATCAACCACACTTAAAATGTTGACATTTTCTTTAGTTTTTTCCCTTTTGTTTCCCATATCTAATTAATTGCTACATTTACTAGTTTTAACCTTTATAATATCACTCACCTCTTTCTTCTTCATTCCTGCTGCCACTATCCTGATTTAGGCCCTCTTTTCAGTCAGTCTTTTACAATGACTCCCTCAAGAACTTCCTAAGGTAGATTGTAGAAAGAACATGGGCTTTGCAGTCTTACAGATAGACCCAAGTGCTAATTGTGAAGATGACACTTATCATCTGTCTGACTTATAGCAAATTATTTAACCTCCATTTACAGATGAGAAAATTTAGACACCAAGAAGTTAGTCATTCCTGTCTTATGTAGTACTGCATTTTGAAAGACAAGCAGGACAATGTGTACCTAGCAAGAAAGCACTGAGAAAATATTGTCTTCCTGCTTTTAATCTCTACAATCTATTAGTAGATTAATATTCTTTAAGCATAGCTTTAATCATATCAGTCTTTTGTTCTTCAGTGTTTCCAGATTGTCTGCCTTGTTCATAATTTTTAGCCTAATATTTCTTTCTGTTAATTTGCTTCAGCCTCCCTTTCTGACCTTATTTCTTCCTTGTCTTCACAAACATTGTTTTAAGCCAGACAAAACCACTAGCAATGGCCAATGGTAAAGTGTTTAAGAGAATGAGTAGTATAGTCAGGCTACCTGGATTTAACTCCCAGTTCATTTACTTACTCTGGGAAAGTTACTTAATCTCCGTAAAGCTTAGTTTCCTATTTGAAAAGAACAGGGATAAGTATAGTGCCTACTTCAGTGGGTTCTTAGATGAAATGAGACATGCATATAATCATTTGGGCCTGGCACATTGAGAGCAGCCACTGTTAGTAGGATTGGCAGAGGTAGTAGTTCTTCATGCTCTTATTATTTGCATCTCATTTCCATTTCTATGCTCACGTTCTTTTTCTCTGCATGGAATGCAGTTCTTCCCATTTGTACCTGTCTAAATTTTAACCATCTTTAAAGATCTTCCCTGGTTTTCTTACCACTCCTGTATCACCACCTTCCCCCTACTTATCTTTCCTCTTCAGAATTCCTTAACTCTTTTATTTTAGAATGCTTATTACTTACATAGACTTATCTGTTTCCCTTCAAAAGATCTTGAGGGCAAATTGTGTAAATCATTTTTTGTATTTCTTTCTTTTTTTTTTTAAGTGTAATTTGAGAGTGAGAGAGAGAGAACGTGTGAGCAGGGAAGGGGCAAAGAGAGAATCCCAAGCAACTCCACACTGTCAGTGCAGAGCCCAACATGGGGCTTACTCTCTCAAACCTTGAGATCATGCCCTGTGGCAAATCAAGAGTTGGATGCTTAACCAACCGAGCCACCCGGGTGCCCCCATTTCTTGTACTTTCTGCACAGCTTCTTATATAGAATCGTGCCAGAGAGTATTTGCTGAATAAATATATTCTCTATAAGCAGTAGCATTTTGGTTCCAAGAGACTTACTCTTCTTAAGGAACTTTTGTAAACTCTTCATTAATCATTGCTTCATAAAAAATTTAATTTTGTCCTGAAAATGCCATATTGGGCTCAAGGAGACTAATTAAGAAATGGCATTGTAGCAGAAGACAATAATAGTAAAAACAAACACTTGACCAGGTGACACTACTTTGGATTCAGCAACATTTTTTTTTTCTACACTGCCTCTCATTTGTTATTGTTCCAGATCCACTCTGTACCTAGTAGTGCCTATCATCGTGCCGAATTTAAGTGTGAATAATGAATCTAAAATTTATTTTACTGAAATATCACATAATAAATACATTAAAATGTGATTAAATATCTTGTTCAGTTTGTTAACATGAGAAATTGTCCTTAAGGATTGTCACACTCATGTTGTATGTTGTTGGAATTTTTTCTTGGTAACCATTCCTACAGGTCCTAGGGGGTTGGGTTGGGAGTGGGTGAATCTCTCCTTGAGACTTTCTTTCCCCCAGCGATTTGGCATAGCTCCAGCCTGTCCTTTAGCATAATACATGCCTTGTCCTTGTTAAAAGACATTTGTTTTCATTGTTTTAAAAATATTTCTGGTCATTTTGAAATAATTTTTATAGTAAATAATAAATTATATGCTATAATTATAAAGAGAGGTTCCAAGGCCAAGAGACAAATACTAGAAACTGAATATTTATCTAGTCATATTATTTATTTCTTAGATATTGATCAATTGTATTAAAATTTTTGCATTCAAGAATGACCATATTATACCTAACCATAAACAGCTGAGATTTTTAAGTTATAATACAGCATATTATTTGGGGGGTTTTTTTTGGTAAGGTAATCTTGCATATTTTAGAAGTGTGATTTTATGTAATCTGTTCAGTTGTTAGGTAGTTTTATGCTTAAGGCCCATTTTTAAGGATTTCTTTTTTTATTAGAGGCCAGTTTTCCCTTACTGCTGAGAAGGTGGGGCAGGGATGGACAGGGACTACAAAACATGACTAATTGGTAGACCAGTTGCATAGATTTAAAAAAAATATTTTTAATGTGTATATTTGAGAAAGACATAGAGTGCGAGCAGGGGAGGTGTAGAGAGAGGGGCACAGAGAGATGGAGACAGACTCCAAAGCAGGCTCCAGGCTCTGAGCTGTCAGCACAGAGCCCAATGTGGAACTTGAACTCATGGAACGCAAGATCAAGATGTGAGCTGAAGTAGGATGCTTAACTGACTGAGTCACCCAGGCGCCTCAAGTTGCATAGATTTTTAAATTGTGACTGTTTTTCTTACTGAGATAAAAGTTGGCCTTAATGCTTTACAAAGACTTTGAATTTTTTGTTTTCTTTCATATTAAAATCTCAAGGGAACTGGTTGAGAGCCCAAGCAATCAGCTTGGGCACAGAAGAAACTTAAGAAGATGTTATCCCATATTTGCATTTTCTGCTGAACTTGAGGAACATAAATACTATTTGTGATATTTGGGGTTTTGTGTTTCAGTGAACTGTTGAGGGAAGCTTTTCTGCTATAATGGCCGAATATGAGTTGCAAAGATTTAAGCCTTTCTCTTATATTAACGTTCTACCTCATTAACTTCATTGTTAAGGCTTTTATACTTCAGTGATTTAAATAAAATGATCTAACTGTAGTTCTGTCGTCTTTCTCTCCTTTTTGAGGTCTAGATGATTGTGTATTTAGTTTTGTATTTTCATTTAGACTCTGTTGTTAATTTTGTTAAGCCCAAGATGAGGATAAAGGGGAAAGTATGGTAGAACTATACTTTGGTATATAACTATACTAAGCTTCAGCTTACCCTGCTGAAGCTCTGACAGATAAGGGAATGCATTTGTAAAGATAAACTGGTCACTTTCCTTTTTAGCTAGTGTTTTAACATAAGTCATGGTCTTCAGGTGCTCTTCAGAGATCATGAACTTCATAGCCCTAAGACTGTTCTATTGTGAAGTTCAGATTGGTGATTATATAGGAGCTTTCACATATATCCCATGGTATTTTTAGACCTGGAACCCAAATAAGGGAGTGCTTGGCTTAAAAAAAAGCAAACTATGTTTGTCCTTAAAAAATGTTATCTAAGCATTTTCAGTAAAATAGGAATTATGCAGTGATTTTTCAAGCAAAATCACCTTTGCAAATATTTGCAACTGCTTCCAGGTAGTGGACCTATTTAGACAGTAAGTTTTTTTGCATGATTTACTGCCAGATGTGAGCCCTCCTTAGCATGGTATACCCCAAGTGCAAGTTAGATGTCTTTGTTAAAAATTTAGAGAAAAAGAACTTAGTTGAACTTGAGTTCAGGGCAGTGAAGCTGTCATGTTGCCAGATATTTTGCATTAAAAAAAATAATTACTAATATATTAATAAGTAACTTTGTGAAGATTAATCCATATTTGACCCATTTAAATTTAGCAAAGGATTTCATTTTACATAATTTTAGGTGCTGACATGAGATAGTAGTGTTCATTTCTAACTGTTTCTTTTATTTTCCAGCTCACCAGCGACTGGAACCCGCAACTTTGTCAGCGATTGTGGCATTTATCCTCAGTCTTTTATGTGGAGCTCTGAATTTAATTCGAGGTTTTCATGCCATAGAAAGTCTTTTGCAGGTACCGTGCTAATTTTGCAATTTGAGGTGACTGTGCCTGTTGATTCTACTTGTTACTCAGTTGGTTTGAATTGATTTGGGTATTGTACAGTTTACATTGCATGCTCAGATTCTGCATTCTGTATGCCAGCTCCAGTCTCCCCTTTCTCTACGAACAGTGCTTTCTAGTTGGCTTCTTTGACTCAGTTAGGATCTATTTATTATTTACTCTGTAGGAGGCACTCTTTGTAGGTTCTCTGGGGACACCAAGGTGTGTGTGACATGAGCACTAGAGTCTCAGAGTCTAGAGTTGAATCGGGGTGGGGTGGAGCAGAGCCGTCCACCAGTAATTACCAAGGACATAGAGAAGAGGAGCAGTCAGTGTGAGTAGGAGAAGACTTGGTGGAGGAGGAGTGAGCTGGACCTAGAAGGATCTGGGTGGACAGAGAGGAATGGAAAAAAAAAGAAGGCATTTATGGACAGGTTTTTGTCCCTCTTCTATGTATTTCTACCTTGTTATCTCCTTTTTTTCCATTTTTAATTGGTGGCTACCAGAAACCACTATTTTTTTTTTTCAGATATTGCCAACTATTCTTTTTTCCCGTGGAGTTTCTTCAGAGACTGGCTATCAGAATATACTAACTTTTCTCTTTCTGTAAAGTTTTTGAAGCTTCTTTTCTTGAAGTTTAGCACATTTCAGACTGGACAGCTTTTCTTACCTTTGATTCTACTCACTTTCTCTGAAGACTTTTTTCTTGACACTTGCAATGTAAATAAGTTCTCTGTTTTTGGTCAGCATTAAGCTCAGAATACCATTCGTAAAAACTCACCTAACACACCTTATATTCTTTTTCAAAATTGCTTATTTTGTTTGGGGGAAAAATCCGTGGTGTTCTGAGTACCCCCCAAATGTCATGAGCTCTTTGAAGCCAGTAGCAGAGGATATCACAGGTTTTAAGCAGCTGAGCTGTCCCTCAAGTAGGGAGGGGGATTATCTCATGACTTTTTAATTCTGCTTTCAAATATCCTGAGCCCTCAGGCAAAGCCCCTCTTCCTTTTCAGGCACAGGACAGCTGGCTCCTGTCCCTTGGTGTTTCTGCCCCTGTTCCCTAGCCAGGTTAACTTTATTCCAGCAGGAGTTCAATTTTGAGCTAGTTAGCCTGCCAAAAAGAAACAGAGGCAATTTGGAGACCACTGACTGAAAAAGTTAATAAGTAAGATATTCTCTTCCCCCTGACTTTTTTTTTTTTTTTTTTTTTTTATTGTTGTGGAAAGAACAGTGGTGTAGATGTGTGAAGAGTTAGTTTTTATTTGTGGATGAAAGAGAGAGGGTTGTCCTGCTCAGCTTCTGATTAGCTCTATGACCTTGAGTAGTTCACTTTAGTTTCTGGTCCTCAGTCTCATTACTGATAAAATGAAGGAGAAGGTTAGATTTGGTGAGTATTTCTCAAAGTATGGGGCAGGTTTATCACTGGTTACACAGTAAATGACTTTAGGTGGTAGAATGATAAATGTTTTGAATTTTAAGAGTTATATATTTAATGTTTATTAATATATAATAAATAACTATTTGGTAAGAGATACTAGTATCTGTTAATGATAGAGATATAGAATTGTTTGTTTATTTTTCAGAGAGAGGTGGGGGGAGGGAAGGAAGGGCAGAAATAGGGAATGGAATCCAAAGCAGCCTGTCCCCTGTCAGTGCCAAAGCCCAGCGCAGGGATCAAACCCTCGAATTGTGAGATCATGACCCGAGCTGAAGTCAGATGCTCAACTGACTGATCCACCTAGGCACCCCTAAAATTTTCCTTTTAAAATAAATAAATTTTAATAAAATGTCAACTTTATGTAATAATGGTATAATTAGTATTTAGAGTTGGCAAAAATTGTGAAGATCGTTTTCTGTAGTTACAAATATCGTCGGTTGTAGCAAATTAATAAGTAAGGGGAGAGAACAGATCTGGGTAGAGAAAAGTATTTGTGCTGTAGAGCCTTACCATCCCTGATTCAAAAGACAGTATACAATTGTGAAACCTGGACCTTAGACCCTCATTACTTTTAAGTTAAAAGCCAGACAAGGCTGTTGTATCTCACAAAACCGATTAAAGAAAGTAATTTCTGGGGCACCTGGGTGGCTCAGTCAGTTAAGCATTCTACTTTTGATTTAGGCCCAGGTCATGATGTCACAGTCATGGGATCAAGCCTTGCATCAAACTCTGTGCTGAGTGTGGAGCCTGCTTGGGATTCTCTCTCTCTCTCTCTCTCTCTCTCTCTCTCTCTCTCAGCCTCTTTCTCTTGCTCTCTCAAAATAAATAAATAAACATTTAAAAAAAAAATAGTTTCTTTCAGACACTCAGATATCTTATCCCTCATTTTCTCAACTGATTCTTTCCTTCTCCCTCTTCTATTTCATAACTTCAGAGCTAAGGAAAGTAGTATAAACTATAGCTTTTCATGCTTTTGAGCTGCTAGAACTGGCTCATGCCTGCCTCAATCCCTAAGTGTTTTTTTCCCTCTGATCAGTACTGTCTTTGCCTCATTGCAGTTGTTTAGGGTTCAGAAGAACAATAATCTGATTAAATGGATTACCACTTACATGCAACTGGCTGATAGCTTTGAGATTACTCAGCCTGTTTACACTTAAAAAGACATTACAGAACAAAATGTAACTCATGAATACAGAAATCTCCTCAATAAGATACTAGTAAATTGAATCCAGTGACATATAAAAAGAATTATATACCACAGCCAAGTGGATTTATTCCAGGTATGCAAGGCTGGTGCAGCATTCAACAGTTAGTTAATGTAATCCGTCACATCAACAGGCTAAAGATGAAAAATCATATGATCCTGTCTTGGATCCAGAAAAAGCATTTGATAAAATCCAATACCTATTCATGAACCCATCTCAAACTAGGTATAAAGGGAAGCTTCCTCAACTTGATAAAGAACATCTATAGAAACTCTACAACTAACAGCATACTTGATTAGAAACTAGATGCTTTCTCCCCAAGATCAGAAAGAAGACAAGGATGTTCTCTCTAACCATTCCTATTCAACATTGTATTGAGGAGCCTACTTAATGCAGTAAGACAAGAAAACAGAAGGTATACAGATAGGGAAAGAAGGAGTACAACTGTCTTTATTCACAGATGTTCTGATTATCTATGTAGATAATCCCAAAGACTTGACAAATTCCTAGAATTCATAACTGATTATAGCAGTTATAGGATCCAAAGTTAACATATAAAAGTCAGTTACTTTCCTATATACCAGCAAGGAACAGTTGACATTTGAAATTTAAAAAACAATACCATTTATATTGGCACACCCCTCCCCCAAAATGGGGCACTTCAGAATAAATCTGACAAAACATATATAATATCTGTATGAGAAAAATTGTAAAACTCTGATAAAAGAAATCAAAGAAGATCTAAGTAAATGGAGGCACATTTCATGTTCATGAGTGGGAAGACTCTTTGTCAAGATGTCAGTTCTTCCCAGCTTGATCTATAGATTCAGCACAATCCCAGTCAAAATCCCAGCAAGTTATTTTGTAGATACTGACAAAGTGATCCTAATATGGACAGGCAAAAGATGGAATAGCCAACACAGTACTGACGAAAAGGAAATCAAAGGATCAAAGGACTGACACTACCCAACTTCAGAACTTACTGTTAGACTGTAATAAGACAGTGAGGTATTGGCAAAACAATAGACATATGGATCAGTACAACAAAATAGTTCAGAAACATAAGTACAATCAACTGATCTTTGACAAAGGTGCAAAAGCAATTCAGTGGAGAAAATAATCTTTCAACAAATGGTGCTGGAACAGCTAGACATTCACATGCAAAAAAAAGAAAAAAAAGTCTGGACGCAAATTTTATACCTTGAATTTAAAAAGCTAACTCAAAATGGATCACAGACCTAAATGTAAGGTACAAAACTTTTAAGAGATAACAGAAGAAAGCCTGGATGACCTTGGGTTTGGTAATGACTTTTTAGATACAACACTAGAATCATGATCCATGAAAGTTTTAAAAGTTTTGTCCTGTGAAGGTCATTAAGAGAATGAGAATATAAACCACTGAGAATACAAGCCACAGACAGGACACATCTGACCAATGACTTGTATCCAAAACATACAAAGAACTCTTAAAACTCAAGAAAGTCAATGCAGTTAAAAATTGGACAAAAGAACTGAACAGATACCCCACCAAAGGAGAAATCTGAGTGGCAAAAATCGTATTAAAAGACATCCAACATTATATGTTACTAAGGAATTACAAATTAAAACAACAGTAAGATACTACTAAACTATTAGAGTGGCAAAATCCTAAACACTGTAGTGAGGATATGTAACAATACGAAGTCTTCATTCATTGCTGGGGGGAGTGCAGAATGGCAGTCACTTTGGAAGACAGCTTGGCTGTTTCTCACAAAATGAAGCCTAGCCTTACTGTGTGATCCAGGAATCATACTCCTATGTATATTTACCCAAATGAATAGAAACCTTCTAACCACAAAAAACCTGTACATGACTGTTTATATCCTCTTTATTCATAATTTCAAAAAATCAGAAGCAACTAAGATGTCATTCAAAAGGTGAAAGAATAAACAAGCAATCTGTACAATTGAGTGGTATTCAGTAAGAAAAAGAAATACATTCTTAAGCTACAAATAGGCATGGCTAAACCTACGGCACCAGGTTGGCTCAGTCGGTTAAGTGCCTGACTTCAGCACAGGTCAGGATCTCATGACTTGTGAGTCCCAAGTCCCATGTTAGGCTCTGTGCTGACAGCTCAGAACCTGGAGCCTGCTTCGGATTCTGTGTCTCCCTTTCTACCTGCCCATCTCCCATTCTCTGTCTCTCTCTCAAAAATAAAATAAAAACATTTTAAAAATATTTTAAAAGACATGGCTAAACCATAAATGTATAATGCTTAATGAAAGAGGCCAGTCTAAGAAAACTGCATACTTACATGATTCCAGCTATAAGACATTCTGGGAAAGGCAAAA